GCGCGCGATGACGCCGCGCCAGGCGGTCGATCTTGGCGCCACCAATCTCGTCGTCGGCCGGCCGATCTACCAGGCCCAGGACCCGCGCGCCGCCGCCGAGGCGATCGCGCGCGAAGCCGGCGTCAACGATCTCTGATCGCCGCATCATGACCGTCGAAGCCAAGATCTGCGGTCTCACGACGCCGGAAACAGTCGATGCCGCGGTCGAGGCCGGCGCAGGCTTCGTGGGTTTCGTCACCTTTCCGCGCTCGCCCCGCCACATCGAGTCGCTCGATCTGCTGAAGGTGCTGGGCGCGCGCGTGCCGCCAACGGTGGTGCGTGTCGGGCTGTTCGTCGATCCCGACGATGCGCTGATCGATGCCCGACTGGCGACAGGCGCGATCGACATGCTGCAGCTCCACGGCGCGGAGACGCCGGAGCGGCTCGCGGCGCTCAAGGCACGCACCGGCAAGCCGGTGATGAAGGCCATCAAGGTCGCGACCCCGGACGATATCGAGCGTGGCATCGCGGCCTATGCCGGTGTCGCCGATCGGCTGATGTTTGACGCAGCGGAAGGCACGCTGCCGGGCGGCAACGCCACGGCGTTCGACTGGACGTTCCTGTCGGGCCGTACCGTGCCGCTGCCTTGGTTCCTCGCGGGTGGGCTGACGCCGGCCAATGTCGCCGAGGCCGTGCGTGTAACGGGCGCGCGCGCCGTCGACGTTTCTTCTGGTGTGGAAGCAAGCCGCGGTATGAAATCCATCGAACTGATCCGCGCCTTCGTCGGCGCAGTAAAAGCGTTGTAAGGAGCAGGCGGCATGAAGATCGAAGAGCGGCTGAAGGAACTGGGCCTCGAACTGCCCGAGCCGACCACGCCGTTGGGCAGCTACGTGAATGCCGTTCGCACCGGCAACCTGATCTACATGGCGGGCAAGGGCCCGGGCCTGCCGGGCAAGCCGCTGCCAGTGGGCAAGGTGGGCCGCGACTTCTCGCTCGAGCAGGCCAACCGCCTCGCGCGCGATACCGGCCTCAGCATCCTGGGCGCCCTCAAGGCCGAGCTGGGCGATCTCGACCGCGTGAAGCGCATCGTCAAGGTGCTGGGCATGGTCAACGCCACGTCGGAATACGGCAGCCATCCCGAAGTCAT